GGAAGACGCTACTCCTTCGGCTGCCGGTACAGGCTGGGCACGGCCTCCAACTTGGTGATGTACGTCAGCGCGGCCGACAACAACTACGTGGGCGTCACCGGCACCTTCCTCGGCGGGCTGCGACCAGCTGCTGTGCAACGACGTGAACTGCACGGACGTGTTCACAACGGGCGTGGACGCCTCGGGCGCCGTTTCCTGCGCAGCGCTCACGCCAGAGGCGCCGTCGCCGGAGCCACGCTGTCGTCCACAGGGGCCGTGTCAGGTAGCTCGCTGAGCATCACGGGGGCGGCCAGCGTGGGCCTGCTGAGCTCAGCCACCGGAATCACGGGCAGCACGTTGACCATCAACAACACGGCCAACGCAGGGAACTTCACCACGGTGGGCGACGTGTCCACAGGCACGCTGACGGCATCAGGCGCAGCAACCGCGGCGAGCTTTGCAGCCACTGGTGCGCTCACGGGCGCTACCATCACCGGGGCGGCCTCCGCGGGCCCGCTGGACTGCGAGAGCCTGGACTGCACCTTCACGGCCACGAGCGGAGGAGTGTCGACGGGCAGCGCGGTCTGCGGCGACGTGACGAGCTCGGGCACGGTCTCCGCAGCTCTTCGCCTCCAACACGCTCCTCCGACTTCTCGGACGATCTCTTCCTGAACTGGGCGGGCTGGAGCAAGCTGCAGATCTCCAACAACAGCGCGGCCTCCGACAGCGGCCCGGAGCTGCGGCTGCTGGGCAACCAGAGCGCCAGGGTCTTCCTGGAGCAGGACGGCGGGACGCACCAGTGCGAGCTCATCATGATCAACGACGAGGCTCTGGTGCAGACGAAGAGCCTCTCGACGCAGCTGTCCTTGACCACGAACCAGAGGAACTCAGGAGTAGTAAGGAAAGACTGCTTATAGTAACCTAATTCAAGGGTGTTTTTGGGCCCAAAACGGCTCAAAACAGCCAAATTTCGGCCAAAAATCCTTTGTCACCAGTGATGTCACCGCTTCGTCACCACTCCGTTTTTGGTGCAAAAAGCGCTGAAAACGGCGAACTCCGAAAAGTGCGTTTTTCGTGTCCTGCGTCTTTTGTGCTGCCCGGGCCTCCAAATTCGCTCGTTTTCCGCGGAAAACCGGCTCCAGGTGTTCGCAGTGCTCCGAAATCTTTTTTCTGCCCCGAAAAACCTCGAATTCCAGCCCGCTGAGCTTGTCACCATCAAGAAGGCCATGTTGCGTTGCATAGCGGCCGGAGCGGGCCGGCAGTGGCACCTCATGCTGCCCGACGTCTTAAACCAAACGGAAGGAAGCACACTACCACGCAGGTGGCGCCGAACCTTGCCCTCCGACCCCGAAATGGCCAAGATAGCTCTGCGCAACATCCCGCCCGAAATCAAGGGCACTGGTGCGCCTGGCTGCCACCAGAACGGCAAGAAACGGCCCCCAAAATGGCACACTCTGTAATAATAAAGCTTTCCTTGAAATGCGAAGAGTAGAAGGCCATGCTCTTGGGCGGACCTGCACCTGTTTGTGTGCGGCTTTGAAGTCAATGCTGGCGCCCACAAAGGCGCCTAAATTGTCCTCTGGCTGCGTGGACAGCGCCAGGTCCGAGCCATTGGCACGCTCTGGCAGATGGCATCTGGTATTCACTTGGCACGGTGCTGTCCAAGACAAGGCGCGGCTCTTTCCCTTCTGCAAAAACAACATTTAACTTGCCTACGGCAATGCCTACGGGCCATTTTTCCCAAGCTTCGGCTTTCTACAATCCAGTTGTTGGCAATTTCATTGCGCAGCAAGCCTTGCACGGTTTCTGGCTTGTCCGGCCATCTTCCAGTTGCCCTTACAAATTTCCAAATTTGGCGCAGCGCGGTCTGGCTTTTTTGCCGGCCATTGAAGGCTGGGTGAAAGTTGGCCGGGCCTGCAGCAGGTGGAGTCTGTAACGCTTCCAGGCTTTTGAACGGCAAGAGGGCAGTCCAGAAAACTGGTTTTGATGTGTGCCAGAATTTGTGGCACCAATTTGCGCTATGCATCCAATGCAGCCAGGGCCTGGCGACTCTTGCAGCGGGTGTTCTGGCTTGGGATAACACCAGTCTGCGGAAGAGTGCATTCCTGCTCCGTCGCAGGTCGGGAGCCTGCAAGCCAGGTGATGGTTCTGGAGAATTTAAAGTGCAATGGCAGTGACCTTCTATGCCTACCTGGGCAAGTTGCAGGGCCAGAGAAGGAGGGTATTTAGCGGTCAGAGTGCTGAGGGTATACCCCTTGTTCTTTCACGCCTGCAATGCTTTGGTGCTTGTACGAGTGATGCAAAGGGGCTCAGGGCCCGTATTTTCGAACTGTTGCAGCCGAACGCCCACAACTTGGAGAAGGCTTTATTGTGCCTGCAGGCGTCTACCCACACCAGGGCACATTGGTAATCACGTAGCATTTGGAAGTTGGCCTCTTCCAGCCAGGACATGGCGCAGCGTTGTCGCCTGCACGCAACGGAAGGCCATCAAGAACGTTATTTTTTGAGCAGTCTTTTTTACTGAGAGTTAGCATTGGCCTGCTATTCCTTGAGCAGCTCATCTACATCGAGCCGGGGCCGCGGCTTCTCAGCACGCTCCAATAGTTGCGCAGCCCGTTCCACTCTTCTCATCAGCCTTGAACCACGCAGGGCAAGCTTTGCCCGCAAATCGCGGCTCGAGCGGGAAAGAACCGCGGAAGCAACTTTGCGTATCTCACGCTCTTTCTCGCCCAGCTGCTTCTCAAGCCATTGCGGAGCTTCAGCCTTTCTTAGCATCGGCACCCGCGTTCTGAGCCAGCAACATTGACGACCCAGACCAGTGTCGCAGCAGCACGCCTTAGAAAAGCTCTCGCCGATAGCTTGAGCGTGCAGCCACAGCCTCAGCACCCGCTTCTTACAGAACACCTGCCCAGGGGGGGACAATGATACCTCCTGCTCCAGGTGCACCGCGTGCTCTGGAGGCAGTGCTACTTTCAAGCAACCCGTGAAAAAGAAGTGCGCGCCTTTTGGGTTTGCGGAGTTCGTTGATGTGGAGGGTTGTTTGGGTTCAAGCTAGGAGCAGTGCAACAGGCCTTAACGTCATGGGCTTCCCGCGCCAGCAGGTAGAACCCCAGGAATGAGAAAGAAAAAATATTTTTCTCTTTTCACTTGCTATCTCACGTTCCTGTAAAAACCCCATCATCTTAGGCGAAACAAAAAACACGAGTCAAACGCAGGAATGCAGTTGGCGAAGCAAGGCAGCTTGTGAAATGCGTAAATGCACTGCAGAACTTAGCGTGTCAAGGAAAGACTAAGAACACCAAGAAACGAACTTGCAATCGCAAGCACTGGTGCGATCCGACACGCAGCTGGCACGCTGTATGCGGCGTTGCTTCTGGTTTGTCAACGCGCAGGATGCTCAGAAATGTTACCGCAATAGGACTCGCGAAACAAGTTGCGGGAGATTTTGCCGTCCTATATGGTGAATGCTGAGCCGTCATTTGCGTAAACATCAATATTTACGCGAAACAAAAACCTAGATTCTTCTGTTCGGAAGCCTCGATGAACTTGCCCGTTTTTTGGGATTGATGTCAGGTTTCTTCCCATTTCAGATTGGAGTGCCGGTGCAGCTTGGGCTGCTGGTCCTCGCATTCAATGTAAGCGCCTTTCTCTTCGTGCAGGAAAGCAAATTAAAATTGTGCACGACTTCCGCCGTGTGGTGGATGATGAACCATGTTGCATGAGTCTTGTTGCGCAGAATACGTGGGCCCCCTCTTGTCCAGTGAAACACCCCTTTTCATCCATGACTCCCAATCGTTAAACTTTCTTCCAGCCCCAAACATCCTTGCGCCTGTGTCAGTTTCGCCTTGCTTCTTGTTGCAGTTGCTAGAGACTTTTGAGCCTAGCTCTCACTCATTGGCCAATTCTCAAGTCAAATGTCACAAAACCATTTCCTTTCGTGTTGAGTCAGTTTTGTACATATCACGACTCCGCCCGGATTCTCAAATCACGCACGTACGTTCCCGGGGGTGTGGCGTGGTGAAGATTGCGTTCAACATGTTTGATCTTCGGCCCCGTTCGTGCCTTTAAGGATTTCTTCATCCCCCACAGGAGTGGAGCTTGCGGCGTGTTAGCAGGAACCACTGTTTGCAGCCAAGTGGCTGCCATCCCTCTTGGCGGCCCTGTGTCGCAAACCCATTCCAATGTCCAGCTATACTTGGTTGTGTAAACGTTGGCGTTGTCGTTTTTGTACAGTGGCGCACAATCGCCCCAGACTGACCTCGCATGCAGGGCCGTTCTGGCGCGCGCTTGCGGTCGGAGGGTGCAACTATGCGACAGTGTGGAGATTTGCACGGGATGAACACACATTTGGAAACAATTTGTTGTGACATTGACAACAATATCTATCAGAATGTTCATGCTGGGAGCCCAATGCATACACGAGGTTGCAAGACCTATGTGGTTGAAAAACCCCATGTTAATTCGCACATGATTCATGAGAGTAGTTGTTTTGTTGTTGGTGGGGACGAATGCGAATGCTGCTCAAGAAGTTGTGGGCCACGCCCCCATTATATTTGCACATGTTCAGCCATCATCATCCCCATGATTTGGGTATGTAAACATTTTGGCGCTTAACAATATTGTGAAGCCATGTAACTTAGCAGTTAGCAGTTGTTTAAGGTTCTCAGGTGTAGTGTTACCATCCTGTTGTTGTACTTTCAATTCTCTTGTTCAGAAGGAGGCAATTGGAGAGATGGTTTTTGTTCCTCATCAGCTTTACTAAGAGCACGCACACACACACACACACAAGCACATGACCCCCATTCCAGTCAGCAACCCAGCAACCCAGAAATCCCAGCAACCCAGAATCCCAGCAACACAGCAACCCAGCACCCAGCAACTCAACAAACCGACAACCGAGCAACCCAACACCCGGCAGCCGAAAAGCCGCTCGACCCAACGACACAACGACCCAACGATCCAACAAGCAAACAACCGATTCTCATTTTTTTTTTTACATATTCACGCACATGCACCCACTCATGCACGCCATCGCGGGGAGACGCAGGGCAATTGCCAGAGCAGCTTTGGCAACATTCCTTCTGTGGCAAGGCCAGAAATAAGGGATGTTCAATTTGTCATGTTGCATCAGGAGGGGGGCCCAGCATCAGCAAAGATTCTGCAATGTGTGGAAACCCGTGCTGGATTGTCAAGGGTTTTGGACTTGATGATCCAATCCTGCTTTTTGGACAGGCAACAACTCATTTTTGGTTCCTTGCCAGGTCGCACATTTGCCGCTGGAGGCCAGGTGAAAGACTCAGGGAAAGTGACTTCTGTGATTTGGCCAGCCTGACGCATCGGTCAAGTTATGCCTTGATTTGCCCGCTGACCTTGGCGTTTAAAAAAAAGCAGTTGCTTAGATGACGCTTCATGTTCTGGTTACAACAAGCCTTGCAACTGCTGACCTTCAGGTCAGATCTCCGTCCTGTTGACGCGACAGGACTGTGCCCTAGCTTGAGGCACAAATGCAATTCTCAATGTCCAGCGAGCAAACAGCACCCTGCGCGTGCGATCAAACCATTTCCACATGAAGTCTCGTTGCGATGTGTTTGCACCGGGATGTGATCAGCCAGCATTTTGTTTGGGACTCTGTGTTCTCGCCTAGGCTGGCGAGAATGGGAAGCTCGAAAAAGCGCTACTGGAGGTTGGGAGATCATCGATTCTGGACGATTTGATTCCGTGGTCATTCCATGTTTTGCCTCCTTCCAATGTCATCCAGCTAGTTGAATCACGCACCGTGGTTTCAAGAGAACAAAGCTCGCAAGCAGATTGTGTACCCAGCCTGTGTAATGCTCTTCGTCCTTTGGGGTTTCTCAAAACGGTAAGCCCCCGTTGGTGCAAAGGGGGATCCAAAGAGTAGACTCAGCGTTTTCGTGGACGGCGATTCTGAGAAACACCCCTGTGATTGTGACCAATTCGGCCCTCTCGCAAAACGACTGGCAGACTGACAGGCGCTTCCCAGCAGCCTGCTGGAGCAAGTGCAAGTGGCGGAGGCCTATTTGGCGTCTCAAGAGGCTCAATTAGTTTCTTTCTTGATGGTACCTGATTAGGGGTTGGTTTAAAGGGAAACCCAAAGAAAACCACGATTTCCGGGGAGGGGGGGGGGGGAGGGGGGGCAGACACTCAGGTATGTAGGTTTGTACGAAACTTCATTTGCATTTTCATGTGCCGAGGGCGCTTGAAGTGTGTGTGTGTGTGTGTGTGTGGGTGTGTGGTGTGTGTGTGTGTGTGTGTGGGTGTGTGTGTGTGTGTGTGTGTGTGTGTGTGTGTGTGTGTGTGTGTGTGTGTGTGTGTGTGTGTGTGTGTGTGTGTGTGTGTATGTGTTCGTGTGTGCGCTTGACCTTTCCTTGTTTCATTGGAATTGCACGTGTCAACAAAGGGCAAAATGGATGGTTCAACCTCCAACTTGTGCATGCTTTGATTAGCACAAGTACGGATCTCAAGCTGCGCACAGAGGGGGCAGTGCTAAAAGGTTTGATTTTCCTTGGTGTTTCAACAGGTAAAGCCCATGCCAATCGGATGTCCTGCACCATGGCTTGCAGTGGTAGAGTTCACGCTGTGCCGCGAAGATAAGAACCCTTCCAAGACCACGGGAAGCGAGGCCTAAGGGGAAGGGTTCCCAGGCAGAGCTGTTGCCAGGTGTGATGTTGCCATCCAGTGGTCCAGGTCCCATGCATCGAGCACGGGCAGGGTCCGGACTTTGAGCTTCTAGAGGCGGGCTCGGGTTTGGTCAAATCCGCGTGTGGGCCATGGCAACCGACGGTGCAGGATCACCTCAAGGAAAACCAGCGGGAGGCCGGCCTCAGGGTTTGCATGGTTTGGCATGGAACTCTGCCAGGTTGTCCTTCTCACCTCGCCAGAGGTTGGCCGGAGCGTCATGTGGGCAAGGGGCTTGCACTTCGCAGGGAAGGCCATAGGCTGTTGGGGTTGCGTTTGGCAGGACTCACTGCTTTGTTGGGGTGATACAATGTTGCAGGATCTGGAGTTGTCAAGTTGCTGAGTCGGCCCTTATTGCAGATCACAACCGAAGAATTCCTATTCTCACATGTGTTACTGGGGCTGTTTTGGTGTTGGCGAAAGTATTACTTGGTTTTTGGTGCGTTTTCCTTGGTGGACCTAGCCCTTCGTCAGAAAGCCAGTTGTAGGTTCATTTCTTTTGCAGAGTGGAGGGTGGCTTCTGAAAGTTCGCTGAACAAAACAAAAACAACAACTGATCCTATTTTCACGTTTGGCTCGGGTCTCGAAGGCTCCCAAGTTCCTTGGAGGCGGCCAGAGTCTTCGCAGAGGCCTGGAGATCTGCGAGGCGGCGCTTGCATTTGACTTACGCGCGGTGTGTCACGGCAGGACGCTAAAGGCCAAAGTATCTGAAGGTTTTGATTCGCTTGATGCCTGAAATTGCATGCTGTGTAGAGTGGGTGAGACTGGCCCACGATTCAACTTCTACTTCTGAAAGGGGCGAGATGGGATGCAGGGGCCTCACATTGACGCAGTTGTTTTGTATTTTTCAGTGAGTTTCAGATGCGGCAGTTCGCAGCTCGAAGGTCCCCCCCTTGCCAAGTGGCTTCAGTGCGGGCCGACAGACGAGGGTTGACAGTCAGGTCTTCACTGGGGGGGGAAAAGGGTTGCAACGATTCCAGACAGGCATTTGGGTAGACCGGACGGAGTTTCGCCCGCCCTCGCAAAGACAGCCGGCCCTTCCGATCGGCTTAGGTTGGCAAGGGCACCACAGCTGGGTACTCGGTTGGGTGCTACTTGTGGTGCTTCATGTGCTTCTGCATGCAGGGCTTCCACCTGTTGTCTTGTTTGGGGTGGCGAGGGCCCACCAGTTTTTTCATGTACTCTGTTTTGGAGACTGGAGACTGGAGCGTTGTGGAAAAACCAAGCACATTTTCCATGGAACAGGGCAAGAGGATCCTTTCCAACGGTTGATTCAGATTGGGCCAAGATTGGATTCAGCTGAGGCCACAGCGAGGGCTGCGGGCCTTGAGGTGATCTTCGAGCCGTCTGTGGCCAATGCTGAAAGCCTTGCCGCGGAGCTCAGGCGGCTCAGGTGTTTGCAAGGCCCACCGAAGCGGCAAACGGGCGAAACCTTGAGGCCTCGGAGCTGCCCGACTTTGGGCACAAGCTGCTGTGCCACTGGCTTTGGAGCGTTTTCAGATGTTTTCAGATGTTTTCAGACCCTGGTTCAGGTTCTTTTTGTTTGCAATCCGGTGGACTGAAAGGCCAGTGCAGAGCAAACTTGGCGCAGAGAGGCCTGTTTTTGGGAACAGCCATTCAGTCATGTGCAGATGTAAACTGATGTAATTAGGTTTTCTGGCACCGTGAAGTCATTTCCTGGTTATGAGCATGCCTGCACTGTTTCTGGAGAGCCGTGTGACGCGCAGGGAACTTGGTTGATGGAATCCAGTGAAACTGTAGTTTCATCGGGAGTTTCGACAGCACAGGGGAGACTTCACCATGTTGGTCCGCGGTTACAGCTCAAGCCCGTTGAGATACGACGTGCATTCCTTTTCCGTCCCGTTCCCCAGTTCGCTTCATTCGCATCAAGGACTCAGCCAGCTTTGTTTTTGCCCCTCCTGGTACTCGTAGTACCATTGACCTTCTGGTCGGGTAGTGTGGCGCGGACTTGATTTTGAAGCATCAAAAGGTCGGCCATGATGTATTGAGTTGGCAGATGAGGGTCTACAAAGTCTTTTTTTGCCGCAGCGCTCGCAGGAAATGGCAATCTCTCTGGAGTACCGCTTTACCTTCATCAACGTGCTGGAGGAGGCGCGACGGATACGGGATCACAGCAGCGTTTAGGCCCGCAGAGCAATAGAGTTTTGGACAATTCACAGAAACTGTGGCAGAAGACGAGGTTGACAGAGGCTCCTGCTATCTTTATTGATAAGAGTATTACTCAACATAGTATCGTCACTTTGTTAGAGGAGTGGCTTTCGAATCGATTAAGAATTGCTTGGCGACCGACTGCCTCTGCCAAAACTCCCCTCTTGCTGGCTGTCGGGAAAAAGGGATGCATATCATTTGGGGGTCCACATGCGTGGGGTATGTCTTCTCAAAGATATCGTGATTCTTTGGAAGGACGTTTTTCGAGCAGTCAAGGCCTCAAGCTATCCGAGCTTCCTTTCTAGGTGCCCCAGTAGTGCCCTTTTACCCTCTCTTGGGGGAGGGTTCCCCTACTAAAAAAAAGGACAACAGAAAAAAGGGGTACCCTTATTCATGTTTTGGATGGTGAGTTTTTCAGTGAACGGAGGGCCTTTGGCCTCACCAGGAGCCCAGCCTTCACCTCAAGACCCGCTCGGCCAGCGTGCCGCCCCGGCGCTCCCCGGAAATGTGCAGTGCGATGGAGAATGAGCTGGAGGAGGGCGTCCCTGGTGCATGAGATTCGGGTCATAAGGCTTTAAGGGGTTTATGGCCCACCATTCCTCATGAGCTAGGACACAAGAATTGGGGCAAGACTGCTTTAGTTCCACAGGGCAACATGCGACACAGCTCGTATTCCACTTTGTTCTGTCAAATCCATTTGCCCAACATCAGCTTCGGCTCAACTCGATTGCAGAGCTCACTTGTACTTGCACCAAGCCTGGTTTGCGCTTTCGTCTTGTACATGTATTGACTCTCATTTTCTTTCCCTCCTGTCGTGGACAAAGCTCTCTTGTTTGCCGTGTGACAGCTTCTTGCAGACCTCTCAACAAATATTTGTTGTGTGTGCTTTTGCGTGGTTACTGTTCTCGCCAGCACTGATTCTGGGAGCATGTACATTTGGTGTGTAAGTGGGAAAGAAGTCTGCACTCTCTCCTTCGGGGCTAATTTATGAGGCAGGATAAGTTAGGGCGCCTGGGAGATGTGTCAATTGGCTCCACTACCCTTTGCGGTCGGTCGATTCCACTGCAGGTTGACAAGCACCTGGAATTCATAATGCATGGCCTTGCTTGTGTTGCCACAGCTCACATCAGCACACATCAGCACGACAACACGGTGCCCAGCTCTGTCTGCCACAGCTTGCTAGAGGCAAGGCCATAGCGCTCGGTTCTCAGCAGTGTGCAGTGTAGACAGCTCCCTTGGATGATTCAAGGCGACAAGCAAGCAGGTGCCAAGCAACCCTTGGGGAGCCGTTTGACTCTCAGTTTGTCCTGTGACACTGCGAGAAGTGCTTCCTTGCTTCGTTTAAACCCGAATTCCCCTGAGATTCCTCGGGCTCCCGATGCCCGTGACAGCGAGGACGGACGATACGTGCAAGCCCTCACACAGAAGCTCAGCCCAATTTTCGGCGCCGAGGCGGCGTAATCCGAGCGAGTGGCAAACGTCGCGCGGAGGTTGCAAGGTGGCTGACGACTAACAAGAACTCTCTGCTTCCCCGGCAGGCTGCTTCGCCACGGGAGATACCCTCAGGCCGGCTGCAGATTCCACGGGTGGTTTTCCACAAGGTTCGCCTGCCGTTTGTGGCAATAGTTTCCGGATCACAGAATTGAACATTGGTTTTCCAGCACTGGGCGGAAGGGAATCATTCGGCCGGGCGATCGAAATCTTGAGGAGCAGGAGCTTGGATTTGCTTGGGGCGTTTCTGCAGGCCAGTGCTTCCACCATCTCAAAATTCGTCTTAGACTGAAATCTGCGGAGATGTGAGAGAGGCTAGTTTCACAAGACCTCAGTGAAAGACAATTATCATTCTGCTGGTTGCATTTCCTTGTTCGACACGCACCCTGTTTTCCATTCTTCTTGGTTTGCCAGAGGGCTTTCATGGTGTTTGTACAAATTTGCGTGTGATTGCTTCGGAGGACCCTCCTGCAAGCTGCACTCTGGCCAGGCGAAATCAGCTCGGTCGCGGACGGTGAGAAGGATACGGTGCTCCCCGATGGCATGTCCAGCCTCCCGTTGAGTGATTGGAGGTCATCCATCGGCACCTCCAACGATCAGGCTGGGCACATCGGGGCAAGAGATCTACTCAAAAGGCCGCACTTTTTGTTGACTAAATAGCGGGCCGGTGTAAGCATGAAAATCATGCAACATGGGCAGTTCTCGCCTGGTCAATCAGAAAAAACCTGTTGCGCTGGGGAACAAATGGCAGTCTGCCCAAGGTTACGGCTCATAATTTCTACATCACCAAGTCCTTGCCTTCCCCAGATTCCAACTGAGAGCTTTGGAGTTTTTGCCTGGGTTTTAGCCAGGATTCCGAGTCCGGCCTTTCTTTGAGTGCCTCGAATGCTTCCAATCCGGGGAGTGTGGGACACCCCGAGCTGTGCCGGCGGCCGTGCATCTACTTCGCCGCCGGAGAGTGCAAGAACAGCGAGGGGTGCAACTTTTGCTGCTTGGCGAAAAAGGCGGCAATCAAGGCAATAATTTCAGGCTCACATCCACAGCCTGACGCACAAGAATAGACAGGCGAATGCGCAGCGTGAGTCATTTGGAAGTTTTCCAGCTGGCTGCCTGCCAAGTGCCACAACATTCCAAAGAATCACTTACTCAAGTTTTCCTCTCCCTTTTGAGCACATCTCTAGGCCACTTGAGCCACGCCCACCGCTCGGCGACGCTGGACAAGAATCAGCGTCAGCTGATCAAGGAGCTTGACAAGCATGAGTTCCTAAGCGTGCTCCTGCGTTGCCTTCAAAATAAGGCGGCACCCTGGCAAAAAAGGCCTGAGAGCAAACTTGCAGGCCTGAAGTGAAGCGTTCCATGGGAGGTTCGGTTCACACCCTCCGATATATCAACCCATCGCATTTTTCCCTCAAGACACGTGGCTTCACGGCACGTGTCGAGCTGAGGCACAGGGCAAGTTCCAACCAGAGGCGCAGAGCGTGCTGGACCTCTTTGAAGCAAGGCTGCTGAAGGCCTGGCCTTCGGGGGTCACAAGTGTTGCTGTGGAACTCATGTTGAACATTCAGCAACACTTGTGACCCCTTGAACATTCAGAATCTGAACCCTGCAAAGTGTGCAAAGAAGTGTTCAGATTCTGAAGCCGGATAAGTATGCGCTGAGCGTACAAACGACAAGATGAACAACAGATGGCACGGAATATGGATCAATGAGAGAGTCCCGGAAGACATCATATGATAGAAACATATTATGGTTGAATTCGTCTCGCTTTTCTCACAGGCCACCACAACAAGCCCAGTTTGCATTCATCCCGGACTTTTCTCCACAGTTCTTGAATGTGTCAAGTCACATTCGTTTTCTCGTTCGTAAGATTTGCTGGGGCGTCACGTAGGAGCCAGTCCAGATGGGCAAGGAGGAGCCATCCAAGGCGAAGATGAATAACCTTGAGCGCGCTTTGGGCCGCATGACCTTCTTCAGCGACGCTTGGATGAGATTGTTGCACGGCTGGCCTCCCCATGGCGACAAATTTAACGCAAAGAGAAGCACCGGAGTGCAACACGAGAAGTGGGCCCAATGGAAGTTGCGCAGCTGGTTCATGCTTTCTTCTGGTTCTTTTTGTCAGTTTGCTGAATGGCTCAGAGGTCGCGAGCCTGACTACACGTGCTCAATTCGACAAGGACCGCAGTCAGTTTGAACGGCTTCGTCAATTGTTGCCCGCACTTCGTGACTTTTCCTCTGGAGTGCCTGATTTGCGAATGAAAGCAAGCTGCTCTACACCATGACAGGGATTGACAGCCGTTTGTGCCAACAGGCGCAGCCCTGCGCCAGGAGTTCTTGGATTGCTGCAAGACGGAGGTTGGGAAGTTGCGTGCCCACTTCGACCAGTGAGCATCTCGATTGAGTCTGCGACCTGTTCGGCGCCACGATGTGAGGGTCTCATTGGGCTCTCTTTCGCACGGCTCTCGTGCTGTCAGGACTTGGTGGAACCGAGAAACCTGCATCCAAGTCCAATGTGCTTGTTG